GCATTTGGATCATCCTCCTGTCCTAAAGGGCATGGGGATGCTGGGAGCTGTAGTCCAGAAGAGAGTGTGGATATGCTTTTGTGTGTTTTGTTTGCGAGGGGGAGTCATTTTTGCTCATGCAATGTAGTGTCTTTTTGCATTTTTGCCTTTTTAAACCCCTTCTGCTGTGTTTTTCAGTGTTTTTATGAGTGATGGTCACTCGTTAGCCTGATAGGTGTATTGTGTCCAAATTTGGTGTCATTTCACCCTGTGGTTTTTGAGTTACGTTAATCCCACAAACTAACATTACATTTTTATTTATATAGATTTGGTTATGCGGCAGACTGAGTGTATTCTCCCCAGAAAGAAAATAAGACAGTTTCGCAACTGGATCCCAGTTGATTGCGTTCTAACCAAAAGCGGTTATAAATATTGAGATCTCACCTGTTTTGAAATATATTTGTGTGCGGAGAGCAGTTATGTAACTTGACAGCTTAGAAAAAGTTGTGCCGTGTTTCTCAGCATATTGTCAGAACAGGACCTAGCAAGAAGAGCAGCCAGTGTATAACTTCAGCAGTCAACACCAGCCTACATTTTATGGTGTGTGGCACAGGGGGTTGCCTTCTCTGAGGAAGAAGGAGAAATGATGATATTCTGGCCCTGTCTTGACTTTTCTCCATTTTGTGTCCATTCGGTTTTGGAGAGGAACACAAGAGGTTTCGGCATTGAGCGGAGCATTAAATTATGCAGCTGCCAGACCCTCCAGAATAGGATACTTGGTTTAGATTTTTTTTCCACAATGCTATTGAAGTGCTTATTTTCCTCCTGAAGAGACACAAACAGATGCAAACTTCTGTAAACACTTTAGGAATGAATTCAGTGAGTTTGGCCTCTCAGCGGTGCTCAATAGCTGACAGAAAAATGTCTAATTAGTGCAAGTGGAAATAATAGGGCCACTTGGATTCCTTCCATCCTTCTCCAAGTCTACTTTTCCTAGGAACTGAAAGGCTCTTTTGTCTGGTGGGTCACCCTCTCTCATGCTTTTGTGTTTCAGTCTCTTAAGAGAAGAAGCGGCTGCTCCGGGAAAGAAAACGCATTAGGCCATGGCTCTGTGCTTACATGTGGGGTAGACTTGGGGGAAGAAAGAAGGATCTGTAGTTGGCAGTGTCAGTTTACAGGTGCTTAAGGACAGGGATTTGTCCATTGTTGAGAGGCACATGTGTACAAGGAGACAGAAATCCCTGTCAACGGGAATTCTTTCATAACTTCTCTCCCCTGTGAACTAGGGTTTTGTCTTTTTGTTTTTGAGCATAGCGAGCCAAATACGGTTTTGCAATTGATCCAGCCATCCTGTGATGCAAACTTGTCTTGTTCAAGCTTGTCCAAACTGCCCATACAATTTCAAGATCACACACATACACACTCTTTTCAAGTGTTGTATAAGTTTGAAATGAACCTGTAACCATAAATCTTTTTAGACAAACTAATATCAGTGCCTCATCTGGTCCCAGATTATCCTCCTGGTGTATTTGATTCATTCATGTGAGTTTGATTTTCATGAAAAATCTGAGTTGTAGCTCTGTGACCATGGCACATGCTTTGCACGTAGATTGTCCTACATTCAGTCCCTGGCATTGTTTAACCTTCAGTTTGAAAACTTAACTTATTAATGATTTTTTTCATTAAGCAAAGGTAAAGCTTGTCCCCTGACATTAAGTCCAGTCGTGTCCGATTCTGGGGATTGGTGCTTATCTCCATTTCTAAGCCGGCATTGTCCGTAGACACCTCCAAGGTCATGTGGCTGGCATGACTGCATGGAGTGCCGTTATCTTCCCACTGGAGCAGTACCTATTGATCTACTTACATTTGCATGTTTTCAAACTGCTAGATTGGCAGAAGCTGGGATTCACGGGAGAAGCTCACACTGCTCCCCGGATTCAACCCTGCGACCTTTCGGTCAACAAGCTCAGCAGCTCTGTAGTTTAATCCACTGCGCCACCGGAGGCTCCCTTTTTTTTAATTAAAACTGGAATTGTTTTCAATCCTTAGAACTGCCACTATTTCATAGGATATATTTATTTCAGTAGATGGTTAGATTATAGATATAGAAGGAAGGATATAGAGGCGAAACTACACTGCATCAACACACTAGTGGATTTCTCATGCACTATATGTGCTCTTTATTTTTTCCATGTGATGTTTATTTGTGGTTTTTGTCTTTTGTATGGGAATTCAAAATATAAGCCTGCAAAATCTATTGGTTGCTGCCTTGTTCCACAGCCATTGCTTGTAGAACTACAGTGGACAGCTCCATGCTCTGCACCACTCATACCAAAATGCCCTAGTCTCAGTGCCTAAAGTGGATCATATCTATGGTTCCACACAGTTAGGATAGATAGAATACAGAAATGCACATAGCATCTGCCAAGGAGGAAGTAGAGCATTTAGACAGATGTCACAACTTCTGCAAGGGTTTTGAAGAAGTTTCTCTACTTCTGCAGAGATATCCTGCTGGTTTCTTTTCTTTCTTAGCAGCATGTTCCTCCATAAGGTTTGTTGATTCTTCTTTTAGGCTTAGGCAGCACATATACTAAAATTGGAACGATTTTTCTTTTAGGAGGAAAGATTTGCCACCAAGGGGAACACTGAGGGTGTTAATACCACTTTACATGTCATCTAAGCAATTTGCAAAGTCAAAATATTGAACTATGAACCTCCTTGGCCCTTTCACATGTACCAAGAAGCTTTTAATAATAATAATAATAATAATAATAATAATAATAATAATAATAATACTTTATTTATACCCCGCTACCATCTCCCCATGGGACTCAGTGCAGCTTACGTGAGGCTGAACCCAAATACAACAATACAAGCAATAATAACAACAATACAAGCAATTAAAATCAAACATAGACAATAAAGAATAATGTAAGCATTAACAATAAGACAGCACACTATTAAAAACTATGGGAAGGTCAAATGTAAATTGAAATTTAAAATGCTGGACTTGGGCGAAAAAAGTGATGGGGCGTTGTGGAAAACATACAAGCAGACCTAAAACAATGTAAAGTGCTTTGGAGAACAAAGTGTTATGGGATCATTATTCAGGGAAGGCACACTGGAACAACCAATTCTTCAAGCTCCTTCTAAAGACTGCCAGAGTTGGGGCATGTCTGATGTCCTTAGGAAGTGAGTTCCAGAGTCGAGGGGCCACCATTGAAAAGGCCCTCTCTCTCGTTCCCGCCAATCATGCCTGCGATGCAGGTGGGAGCGCGAGCAGGGCCTCTCCAGATGATCGAAGAGATCGTGTGGGTTCGTAAGTCTGCCAGCTATTTGACCTGAAGGTTTGGGAAATATATCTATGATCCTCCAGATCTTGTTGAGTTGACATTCCCAACACCCTTGACTATATTGGGCAAGGCCTGATGGGACTATATCTTATCTTTGACTATGCTGGCAAGGCCTGATGTGAGTTGCAGCCCAAAAACTTTAGGAGAGTTTCTACAGAGCATGGAATTAATCCTTTCTGCCCTAATAATGATCTTGAGACTTCAACTGGAAAGACAGTATTCTCCCTGGAGTTGCCACCTGCACTGGTAATAGCTGGCAGACTTGAGAGCTTGATTGTGTGTTTTGACATGACTGAGGTACAACAAATACATTGTATATCATATAAGTCACCAGTGCATCAATATGCATCTGAAGTAAACATAGTTTATGGATTTTGGGCATTGAAGTCATGGTCATGGCCATAACATCTACATGAAGTTGTTGGGTGAGATCATTTGGAGTTTTGGAGTCCGATGTCATCTGTACGCAGATGACAACTCTATTACTCCTTTCTACCAAATGCTAAGAAGGCTGTCCAAGTCTTGAACTGGTGCCTGGCTGCTGTGACGGTCTGGATGAGGGCGGGTAAATTGAAATTGAACCCAGACAAATTAGAGGTCCTCCTGGTCAATTGCAAGGCCAAACAGGGTATAGGGTTACAATATCTGCTGGATGAGGTTACATTCCCCTTGAAGGCACAGGTTTGCAGCTTGGGAGTCCTGCTGGACTCATCACCGAGCCTGGAATCCCAGATTGTGGCAGTGGCCAGGGAAGCTTTTGCACAATTAAAGGTTGTGTGCCAGTTGCACCCATACCTTGGGAAGTCAGACTTGGCCATGGTGGTCCATGCTCTTGTTACATCTAGGATAGACTACTGCAATGTGTCCCTTTATGAACCATCACGGAAATTTAGATCCTCCAGGGATGCCCTGCTCTCCATCCCACCACTGTCACAAGTGCGATTGATGGGGACAAGAGAGAGGGCCTTCTCAGTGATTGCCCCTCAGCTATAGAACTCCCTTCCTGAGAAAATTAGAACAGCCCCCTCCCTCCAGTCCTTTTGGGACAGTGCAACAAGGCAGCAATAAGAAACCTCATTATGCCAACCAGACTCGATGCAGATGTTTGGTACTGTTTTAAACAGTGGATTTTAATGTTGAGAGAAATGATTTAAATGTTTAATGTTTACTAATGTGTATAATTTATTTATGCCCCGACATTGAATGTTTGCCATTTATATACTGTGCTCTGCCCTGTGTCACCTTTGGGGTGAGAAGGGTGGAATATGAATGTCTTAAATATATAAATATATACTACTAAGGAGTCCTAGAAAAACAAAAAGGAATTTGTTTTGAGGGCAGGGTATGTCTACAAGGAGAAATATTTAAACATTGACCTTTAACAAATACCACTCTATAATATGCTCCAGTTGACATGAATTGCTGTCTGAAGGAACAAGTGAGTAAGTAATCAAGCAGCAGGTTGATTGTGGTTTTTTTCCCTTCCTTGTCTACCTAGCCATAGAGCAGAACATGGAACATGGACTTCCAACATTAGCATGATCATTGAAAGTTCCTGAAAAAGAGAAACAGGGAGAGAACACTTTTCTAAGCTGTGTCTAGAGAGCGTATTGGTTATGAAAAGAAAGCGGTTTTTCCCAACTTCCCACATTTGGGTGTTCTTTTCAGATTTCTTTGAAAACTTCTATTGCTGCCAAGGATTATGTGACAGCAGCTGCTATTGTGTTCCTGATTGATCGGTTCTTATATTGGGTTGACGGCTCCAGCCAACTTCTTCAGATTGCCAAAAAGCTGCACAAGCTTCAACCTACTACGCCAATTGCCCCTCAGTTGGTGATCCGCCAAGCTCGTGTCTCGGTAAATTCAGGTAATGAAATTCTCATTGCTGGCTCTCTTACTTTCTCCCAGTCTCCATTTTCTCAGCCCATGTCCAATTAGGAGCTACTTAGCTCTCAAGAGGATACTTTGTCCCATTCTGGAGATGGCATTCCTATGAACCCAATGCCATTTTTGTAAAGTGACACCCTGCTCCAGTTTGCCACATGCTCCCCCCCCCCTTTTTTTGTGTCTTTCCCATTTCTTCTGGTCTCCACAAAGTGTTTGGCATGAAACATTGGGGGTGGAGAGGTGAAGCAGGAGCCAGGAAAATTGTGAAAGGGTGTGGAAGGCTTCTAATTGGAGCTTTTGTCTGCTAACAAATCTGCCCTTCTGTTTCCATCAGGGGATGTGAATTGCTGTACCTCTGAGCAAGAGCTTTTAAAAAAGTAGATTACACAGTCCTGGTATTTTTCCATGTAGTGTCCTAGATGCATCTCAGAACACCAGCCAAAAATCTATTMCCATATAACAATGCAAATAATGCAATTAATCTACTCATGCAAAATCTGTCTGTCTGCTTCTGGCATGCACACGATGAATATTACATTGGGTGGTGYTATTTTTGTTTGTTTGTTTTGTTTTGTTTCATAAAATAATCCTTCCTGAAAATAAAAACTAAACCAATTATGATYCAAGGTTGGTTTTAAAAAAATATTAGGATAAACTAAAAGGAAAATTATCATCTGCTTCTAAGTAGTAATGTAAAGGTTTCCCCTAACATTAAGTCTAGTCATGTCCAACTCTGGAGGGAGTGCTCATCTCCTTTTCTAAGCTGAAGAGCCAGCGTTGTCCATGACCTCCAAGGTCATGTGGGCAGCATGACTGCATGGAGCGCCATTACCTTCCTGACGAAGCGGGACCTATTGATCTACTCACATTTGCATGTTTTCAAACTGCTAGGCTGGCGGAAGCTGGACCTAACTGTGGGAGCTCACCCTGCTCCCTAGATTTGAACCAACAACCTTTCAGTCAGCAAGTTCAGCAGCTCAGCGGTTTAACCCGCTGCACCACCAGGGAGCCCTACCAGACTACAAATCCCAAGATTCTTTAAGATAAAGTCATTATTATTAAAGGGTGATGAGATTGATATAACTGTATTGTGTACTTATAATTCAGGCTTCCAGAAAAAATATCTTCCGGTTTTATCTGGGGAAGTTAAGGTTAAAATCTGGACCCATTGACAAAGGTGCTTTACCATACAGTTACAGCTACCATCTCCCTCACAAGATAAAATCACAATAGAAATCTTCCATTCAATTATATTTGTTCCTTTTTAAAAACGTGTGTCTTTCCCATTTACAGGTAAACTGCTAAAGGCTGAATATATCCTTAGCAGTCTTATTAACAACAGTGGAGCAACAGGTAAACTATCGGCTATCGTTTCTATAGTTCTTGGAGCTTTAATTTATAAAAGAATAAATTGCTTTATTCAGACTTTCAGGCCGTACTTTTGTTTACCGAAGGCAAGCAAACTTCAGTCCCAGTTTTGGGGAAAAGATGGGCTAAATAACAAAAACAACATATCTGTTATCACTAAGGGCCCTTCCACACAGCCATAAAGCCCAGAATATCAAGGCGGAAAATCCCACAATATCTGCTTTGAACTGGATTAACTGAGTCCAAGTTTAAAGCAGTTAACATGGGATTTTATTCAGCTGTGTGGAATAGTCTCATAGAAATGAGGGAGTTTTGGTAATGCACAGAAAGACTAAAATGTGCTGTGTTTGGGGTACAATCTGAATATCAGTGCAGCGTACTTCCACGTTGCAATACTTTGCATAGCCGCATTGCAACCACAGCACAAAAACCCATGGAATCAGCCCCACTTCTATGGTTGTGCATGTCCATGCAGTGTGTTGTACAGTCAGTCTTATGCGGAGTAGCATAGATGTAAAAGTAATCCCAAACTCTAGTGTATAGAAAGACAACTTAAAATTAAGTGAAATCAATTAAATGTAATCAGTCCCATTTTCTGCAGGACTATTGGTTAGCTACTCTACTGTGGCACATTTAACCTCAATATCGGATGGCTCCATTAAGGATCACAATTTTTTTAAAAATTAATTACTTAAAGAAATCTCTTAAAAAGTTCTACCAACTAACACAAAATAGATTTTTGATGTTAATTTTTCAAAAAGTGATTTTTAACATTGTAAGGTTTTGGGGTATAATAGGTAACCTCTTGTCAGGATAATTGCAGTTATTTCATATATGTTTTTCAATGTGTTAATAATGTAATTCAAGATGGTTTCAGTCATGTTCATTTTTGTTCATTCGTGTAGTAGATTATTATTGTTATGGGATAGAGAGTTAAGACCTTGGCTAAAGTTAGATAAGACTTTTCGTGAGAAGAAAAGGGAGTTAACCGGCTAGAAGACAGATAAGGCAGAAGGGCAGGATTTTCTTTGTCTGTGTGTTTAGTCCTGTACTTTGTCAGTCGCCATTTTCAGCCTCAAGATGTAGTCGCCTGTATATAGATGCTTTCAGTAAAGTTTATTATTTTGAAACTCAAGAAGTCTGTATTGTGATGATTGGTCTGGAAATCTCAAGTGCTCTGTGCATGACCCAGGGGCATCACTCTGTCACCTCTAACCAAGTGTAGATATTGACCATCATTTATAATTTGCCTAGGATGCACAATTCCTAAGTTAAATGATCCCAGATAGACACGTGTACTCAGTACATGTATGCATTCAATTCATGTGTTCTGGGGTTGTATTTGTTAATCTGTATCTATTTGCCATCACCTTGATTATTCCCATGACCTCATTCCAAATCCAATTTTAAATCAACTTTTAAATAGATAAGAACTGCTCAGCAGCTTTTGATATCATATTTTGCCTGTTAATTTATTCAAGCAATGAACTATATTCAACTATTCTTTTTATTTATTTCTCAGGTGTGTGGAAATATGCTAAAGAAAGTGATCGGATCCTTGTACAAGCAGTTTGCATTCAGATCAGAGGACAGATTCTACAAAAATTAGGTGTGCTTTCATGCCAGATTCATGCAACATCACAAATTCCATTATTGTATCATTGGTCTGTGCTATGTGGTTATTTCCGTAACATATACATAAACTGGAAAAAGTTTGTAAGAAGTGTCTACAAATCAAAACAAACAAGGATTCATGGGGGCTGCATAAAACTAAACCACTGTAGATTTTTTTAAAATTCCCGTTCAATTTATTTGTGCAGGATTTCCTCATGATAGTTTGGGATATCATGACTACAAAATATTTTCCTTTCCTAACAAATAATAACCCACAGAGAGCAGACTAAATACACCTTATCCTGGAACTAGCATGTCTCTATACCAGTGTTTCTCAAACTGTGCTCCTCCAGGTGTTTTGGACTTCCGCTCTCAGAAATCCCAGGCACCTTATTAGCTGTTAGTAATTGTGGGAGCCGAAGTCCAAAACATCTGGAGGAGCACAATTTGAAAAACTCTGCTTTATACAAACAAGACAGCATAGTGCTGAAAATACATGTTCTACATCATGTTCTACCATTGTTTTATATTTCCCAATGGATCTTCAACAATACAAATCAGATCACCAGCAAATACTCATATTTTCAGTTTCTTTTCTTATCTTAGTTCCAATTAGATTTTTGTCTTCTCATATATTGTTCAATAGTAATTCCAGAGACATTATAAACAGCAGGCCCGTAGCCAGGATTTCGTTTCGGGGGGGGGGGGGGGTAAAAAATTTTCAGGGGGGGTTTCGGGGGGGGCTGAGTTTCGGGGGGGGGGCTGAGTCTGAGTGAAAGAGGGTCTAGCCTAGCAAACCTTTTGTATCATTACCCCAATACCCCCATACATATGGGATATATTGAGAATGGTGATCAAATCATGATATTAATAAACATAACAGTTTAAATAATGCACCAGTAAGGCCTTTTCGCGAACCACCATGAGAATTTCGGGGGGGGGGGCTGAAGCCCCCCGAGCCCCCCCCTCCTGGCTACATGCCTGATAAACAGTAATGGTGATAGGTATCAACCCTGTCCTATTCACCAATGCAATGTCCATCTGATATATTTTAAATCTGAATAAGGAATGAGAATTCTGCAGGTGTTTAGAAGTTGTTGAAGTGCACCCCTTTTTATTTATTATTGTTGACTTTGCTGTATGAGAGAGTTGCAGTTCAACAACATCTAGAAGGCTGCATTTGGCTGGTCCCAGTCTAAATCCAGTTATTAGCACAAAACAGAGTAGGATCTTTATGCAAGTTCTATTGAATCCGTGTTAATTTAGCAAGCTCTCATTGATTTAGACCATCTACTCTCTGGATTATTAAAATAGCCTAAAAGATTACACATTTACTCTACCAGGTGAAATGTCCAGAAATTCCAGTACTTAAGAGAATCCTAAAGGAAGTGTTGATGTTAATCTATTAAGACAAGACTATTGTTCACAAATTGGAAGTTCAGGTCTTCAGAAAACTGGTAATAGGAAACTCATATTAAACACAGACTGACACGATAGCAAAACTCTCATAATAGTTGGAAACTGTTCCTGTTTCACCTCAACCTTGTGTTCATGTCTAATGTTTTGTATGATAAATGTTAATTTTTCCATCAGATTGATATTCCAGATCCATGTTGTCCAGTTGTACAGAGAATGGTTGTTGGTATTTTTCTGAGTAATACAAAAACTACCTTAAATTATGAGTTGGAGTTCCAGCAGCAGCAATGTTCACTTCAAAAAAGTAACATGAAAATAAATCAAGATTTACTAAAGCTGAGCTTTTGTTATCGTGTCAGAAGCGAATTAAGAATATACTGCAAGTTGCTTCTGGTGTGAGAGAATTGGCTGTCTGCAAAAAAAATTGCCCAAGGGATGCCTGGATGTGTTACCATCCTGTGGGAGGCTTCTCTCATGTCCCCACATGAGAAGCTGGGGCTAATAGACGGGTGCTCACCCCGTCTCACGGATACAAACCACCAACCTTCATGTCAGCAATTCAGCCAGCACAAAGGTTTAACCCATTGTGCCACTGCGGCTCCACAACCTGAGCTGAGAATGTGCATCTTTAAACATTGTATTCACTATGGGTTTTTAAAAAAATAATAATAAAATAATATGTGAGAAGTTTTTACTTTTTTCTGTTTCAGGAATGTGGTATGAAGCAGCTGAGCTGATCTGGGCCTCAATTTTGGGTTACTTTACACTTCCCCAGCCAGACAAAAAGGTGATGAATTAATTTTAGAATCATGTTAAATATTTATTGCCCAAAGAGAGCCCTCCTTAGCCATGAAAATCTACTTGGTGATCTTGTCAGTGCTTCGCTTCTTACAAGCAGCAAATGTTCGTACAGAATCCTGTATGAGAGATATGTCTAAAGGAGACAGTTGGGTTGTAGGTCAATGGCAAGAGGTATAACAGACATTCTTTCCATGCACAGAGGTCAGAACAAAATAAATGCAACATCATGTGAACATTTCAGTGTTGTACTAATAATTTCTTCAAAAAGGAAGAAATTATTAGCAAAAAGGAAGAAATTGTTAGCAAGAGGTCATGTTGTGACTTCAATGGGGAAGTCACAACATGACCTCTTCACACGGGGCTAAATTTGGCGGCATGAGCTGATTTAGTCCTGGTCAGCCACTGAGCTGGCTGGCTCCCATCAGATGACACTGATATGGCTCCATTGGTGAAGGAGGGCAGAGCTGACACATGTTGCCACAAGGACAGCACAGGAAGCCTCCCGAATTGCCATTAGAATCCATAGGGGGAAGCCACACACTCCATGCACTCTGCACGCTTCCCCCCGATCAACCTTAGCTGGTGCTGGGCAATGCAGGACATAGGACAACCGGGTTCCCATGCTCCTCTATGCAGTGGAGCACCTCCGGTGGCCATGTGACAAAGTCACCAGTCTCCCAGAGGAAGGCAAGGGCAAAGTTCATCTGAGCAAATTTTGTGAAGAAAATTTTATAAATTGTAGTCTAACACTCAAACAGCTTCACCAAACTGGCACTCATACACAAAAAGGAATGATCACTCTTAGCTGTGCTGAGAGACAGTTGCATGTCTTGCTCTCAAATAGCACTTCTGGATCACTCCTCTCCCTTTTCCTTCATTGAGGAATGGAAGCAAACTAGCTGCCTTTCAACTGGCAGTTTCTGCAAGATCATGAGAAGGCCAGCTGAAAGCTCAATTACTTGCTATTTGAAGCAGTACAATTTCTCTGAGGGAGATGATGTCCCACTAAGAAACTTAATGCCATGTAAACAGCCTGAAATTGGGTGGTTTTTTTTGCACTTTGTATAACTACGTACAGTAAGATCCCTGTATCCATGGGGAATAAATTCCATACTGTAAGACTCCTGTATCCACAAGGGAAGTATTCCAGGCCGGATTGTGGTTACATGAAACTACTAATACAACCAAATGCAATTAAATTACCTGACTTCAGGTCTCAGCATATCAAAGAGAAAATCCTTGAGAGACATCCTCTCAAAGAATCTACTAGGCCAGAGTTTCTCAAACTGTTCTCCAGATGTTTCGGACTTCAGCTCCCACAATTCCTAACAGCTGGCTGGGAATTCTGGGAGTTGAAGTCCAAAACAACTGGAGGAGCAGAGTTTGTGCTCTGTGCTAGGCAATCCAATGTAACACTATGGTAACTTCCAAGGGAAGGATATTGTATAGTTGCCTGGAGGACCTAGCAAATTCCTAGAGGGACCATGTTTTTCCTGTGCATGGATAAATGAGACCACAAATATGGGTTTTGTGTTAAGAATTCTTATTCTACACATTCAAAGTAACTTGAATTTGAAATAGTAGACCATAAATATATTTCTGTTTGCTTGTCTTTCAGGGAATTGCTACATCATTGGGGATTTTGGCTGACATATTTGTCTCTATGAGTGAAAATGATTATAGCCGTTTCAAAGATAACTATCAGTTTGATCTGGTAACTATTTGTGTTTTGAAGGCATAGTTTCAAGTTATGGTGAACATGTGAATGAAAGAGACCCTGTTATTAGCAATCTGCTGAAATCTTGTAAGCAAAGCCCATTTAATTGAGAGGTTTTCCCTAGTGCATTAAGCTATAGTGAGCACTGAATCTTTTCCAGTGATTCATGCTGTCTCATGATATGTTCAAAGTATGACAGTCTCACTTTAGTTACCTTGGCTTCTAATGAGAGTTCAGGACTGTTTTGGTTTAGGAAGTATCCATTTGTTATTTTGGCAGCCCATAGAATCTATCAAAGTTCTCCATCACCACCATTCAGATTACTTGATTTTTCCTCCCACTATCCAGCTTTCACAGCCTTGCATAGAAACAGAAATAGGAAATAAAACTTCACTTCGCTAACCCCAAAACTTGATAACATTTTATTTAGCTCATCCCAAATTTCCTTTTTCATCTGAAATCCTGTTGGTACCCTATGCTAGCAGATGCCCTTTTTCCAATGTTGATGAATGGCCTGACCACAGAAATTCCTTGTACCAGAAGCTAACATGCTCATAACAGAAACAAAGTAAAACATTAAAATATACCATATCACAGCTCAGCGGTGGTTTGAAAAGTTACTTTTTGGACTATAACTCCAAGAGCCCCCAGTCTCTATGGTGACCAGGCATCAAGGAAGTTATAGTTCAAAAATATTTTTCCCAGTGTTGCTGTGCATTCCAATGGGCAGTGATTCTCCGGGATCTAAGACAAAGGTCTTTCCAATCACTTGCTCTTGATATTTTATAACTAGTAAATTTGTGAGTTTCTGTGTCCATGTTTTCTACCACAGTTCTTTGGTCCTGTTTAACAGTTTCTCCCTAATGAAAGTAACTAGTGGTTATTGTGCATTTAGTTTTCTACAGTACAGTCTTCCTTTACATGGCACTTCACATATTTGACTTCCCATCAACCCAAGTCAGCATAACCATTGTTCACTCATGGTAATTGTAGTCTAAAGCAGGCATGGGCAAACTTCAACTCCCACAATGGTGGACTGTTAGGAATTGTGGGAGTTGATGTTCAAAACACCTGGAAGGCTGAAGTTTGCCCATGCCTGGTATACAACATTTAAAAGACATAAGCCCAGGAAAGACTGGATCATGCAGAAGGAAAGGATATGATTTGTTAAATAGTACAGTCCATACACAGAAAAATATAATCATCTCTCACTTAATATTAAGGTCCATCTGCATACCCACAGCTATAGATTACAATGGGTAGGTATTTGTTCTAACCTATGAAGGAGCTAGAGAAATTGATCAGTGGTCATCTAGCCTGATTTTACTCTGAAAGTAAGTCTTTCTGATCTCAGCTAATGGTCCTGAACTCCCCTCCCACCTCCCCTATTAACATTGACATTAAAATGCTGCAATGTCACCTTCTCTTCAGAGTGTGTAGCTCTCATCATCCCCAACCAATACATCAAATAATGGAAGCTATAGATCAGCAAAACCTAGGAAGTACCTTAGATTGAACATATGTCTGCTTGTAAAGCATGTTCTCTGCTGAGTTTTTGAAGGTGAAATACAGTGGTCTCCATGAGTTTGTGACTGAATTGAGACTTAAATAAAGTCTAGATGTGTCCTTACCCTCTTAACTACAGTGCTACACAAACTGGAGGTGGGTGAAGAACCCATACATTGTCATCTTAAACAAACATGCTTTGAAAAGGATAAAGAGTTCCCATAAAAGTTGAAGCACACCCACACTGTGGAAATTCTCATAGCACCCTACTATAATTTTTAAATCATCATATTCTGAGTATGAAAGGGATAAGAAAGAGAAAACCAGTGGTGAAATTTTATTTTATTTTATCTTTTTAAGGTTTTGACTTTTGTGGATAAGACCAATTCCCAGCATTTAAAATTAAGTAGTATTGATTTATTCTTACACCGAATTTGAACCTGATTAAGTCAGATCTCAAGCAAATTGCCTTTTTTAAAGGTGGTGTAAAAAGAGCTGGCAAAATAAATCAGCCTGAACTTAAATTTTTGTCTTGCCGTTTCAACAGAACCTCCTTAAAGAGTTTGACCATCGTTTACTCTCAGCTGCTGAAGCTTGCAAGCTGGCAGCAGCCTTCAGCCAGTTTACGCCATTGTTTGTGCTCACAGCAGTGGTAAGTACACTATGCCAGACTACTCTTTTCTCTTAGTACTAACAAAGGTTGGAAATGTTTTGTGGTGATCTCTCTGGTTCAGAAACAATGTGTGAAATGTAAGGGATCTGCATTTTGCTGTATTCTATCTGCTCGTTAGGAATAGTTATTTACTATTCACTGTTTGTTAATGCCTATAATGAATGTGAAAACCAGCATGGGTTACTGGTTTGAGTGTTGAGCTAAGATTTGGGGTTTAAATCCCTGCCCAGCCATGGAAACCAAAGGGACCTTAAGGAATCATATTCTCCTAATTGTAGGGCCCTTCCACACAGCCATATATCCCAGAAAATCAATGCAGAAAATCCCACATTATCTGAGTTTGGACTGTGGCCCCTTCCATGCAGTTGAATAAAATCCCACATTATCTGCTTTGAACTGGGATATATGGCAGTGTGGACTCAGATATCCCAGTTCAAAGCAGATATTGTGGTATTTTCTGCCCTTGATATTCTGGGTTATATGGCTGTGTGGAAGGGTCCTTAGATAACCCAGATATTGTGGGATTTTCTGCCTTGATATTCTGAGATATAGGGCTGTGTGGAAGGGCCCTTAGAGGAAAGAGTAGCAAAACTCTTTTGGATAAACTTGTCAAGGAGACCCCGTTACAGGGGCACCATCAAGTCAAGGCTTGAAGTTATACAGCAACAATATAATGAATGCCAAAGCTAGTGTTGATTTAATTGTATCTTACTTTAGAGTAAAAGTGGTAAAACTTGCAGCTAAAAACTGGTAATTCTGCAATTTATGTTTAGTTTTGTGGAAAATAAATCCTCAGGAAAAGAATGAGATGAGTCCAAAGTTTGAGATCAAACTTTGAAATGAATCCTATTAATTTCATCTGGTTTTGACTTACAGAATATCCGTGGAACGTGTCTGCTGTCTTATAGCTGTTCAAGTGTTTGTCCTTCAGAAGAGAAAAAGCTGTATTTGTCTGAAGCAAAAGAGTCCTTCGAAATTGGTATTCTCTGTAAGAAGGATGAAGAACCCATCACCAGCAAACAGGAACTCCACAGTTTTGTCAAGGCTGCTTTCTGCCTTACAAAAGTGCACCAGCAACTTTATGGGGAGAGTGAGAAACTAACTTGCGTGAACCAGTTGTGTCGGGATGCCTTGGAGAAAGTATATATTTATAGTCATGGAAGACACACTGGGCAGCAAGACAAAGAACAGCTGGCCAAGCATATCATCGGAATAATTATGTCTGTTAAGGAGCAACTGAATGTGCAGAGTTTCCCTAATTCTGATGCCAAGTCTTACATTCCAGATAGCTACAAAATGTGCACTGACAAGCAGATTGTCAGCCATAACTTGGACTTTGAGAATGTCCTCAGAATACACTCCCAGCATCATGAAGCAGTCTGTGAGGTTTTTGAAAGTGCTTGCAAGAGCCAAAAGGTGAGATCAAGAGAATGCAAAGTGGGAGCCTGTATAACTGCTTTGAAAACTGAAACCAGAAATGTAGACACCATGTGTATTACTGAAGAAAAGTCACATCATGGAGGTGTGAAGGTTCCATTTCCACAAAAAGCAAGGCAAAATCATGAGAGTACTAAGGGCCAAATACGAAATAAATTACTCCGTAATGCTGCAGTAGATTATTCCCTTGATGAAGAAACAGAATGTGAATATGAGGGTAAGAGTCAAAACAGTGCTGATGGTATTTTGGATGGTTCTCAAAGCAGGAGTGAAATTTCCAGTTCACTGAGATCATGGAGCAAGTTTTCCAGGTCAAGTTCCTCTTCCTTTAGTTGGGAAGAAAAGTGAACTGCCCCAAGATAATGTACAGAATAAAAAGATCAGTCCAAATAAAGAGCAAGCTTGCTCTGCAAAATTGAATGAAGATGCCTTGAGTAATGGAGTTACAGAAATCGGACCAAATTTCAAACATGTGGAAGAAAAAATAGATACTGCTCAAGAGTCACACAGCAAAACCAGTAGTACCAACTCCATACATAACAGTGAGCCTTTGAATCTTGTATCAAGGGTCAGTTCTGAGCAAGATCCATTAAGAATTAGCATTTCTTTGACAACAGCTGATTCCAGGACCAGGGACAGCACCAAGAACTCTGATGAAACATCTTACCATAATCAATGCAGTGCTAAGAGTGAACATGGAGAAGACCCTGAATGCAATGAACCAATTGCTGGACATCTTGGGCCATTGGTTGACCCAGAAGGAGAAACAGTCGACACAGCTGATGATACCCAAATGCATTTACATCAACTTAATGATAGGATGACATCTACTTCCATAAACAACAATGTGCCTGAACAGGACAGTTTTGTCCTAAATTGGATTAACAAATCAACCCCTACCATACCTAAACCTGGCTCATCTGAAATGCCTGATGTTGATCCTCAAGCAGAAACAGCAGAAGAGTGGGAATATGTTTCTGATAGTGCCGGAAAATCACTAGATAGCCTTGCTGGCATAGATGTAATAAGAGAACAACAAAATTACAGACCAGGGACCACAAGTGTCCCTTCAGAGAGGGGTAACAAACCATTAGAGAATCAATCTAGCTATTGTGCTACAACTGAAGAAGGTGAGGACGAAAAGCAAAAAGACATTTTGAGCATCAGCCACAGTTCAGGCTCCTCTATGAAATCATGGTACAAAGCTTCCCATTTTTCCAGCAGTTTTTCGGAACTGGGGAGTCCTTCTTTTTTGAACTCTAGTGCAAGCTCTTTTCTCTTTATGGAAATGACAAAAGAACAAATCCTACAGTCTCGCATTCTGAGTGATGATGATTATGCTAAAATTTTGTCAGGTGTAGATCACACTTGGTTAGTTGAAAGAATGAAGAATACTGGGCTGTTTAAGCCAAACGTGCTGCGTAAATGTCACTGTAAGTAGAAATTCCTAAAATAGACCTTTATAATGACTTGATTCTATAAATGTAACTATCTGTGGGAAGGGAAGGTAGTTGCATCCTAGCATTTCTATTACACAATCCCAAACATGCAGATCATTTTTTCTAAAAAATTAAAAGTTATTTGTAGAAGACAGTTTTAGAAAAAATCTCAAAAATGTGGAAAAAATACTGTAGTTGAAAACTGCAGAGAGAAAACTTCTGAAATTGTTCATTCTTGCTACAAAGTGAAATAAGTGAAGACATATTTATCCTATACTGGGGTCTGTTATTTCTTCTTTTTCAGTGAAGAGTAACTTCAAGGGAGCAATTTCATTTAGAAAAAAATACTAATCCAGGAAGGTTGATACCTTTTCCCAATTCAGTGTTTTGCCCCAAATCTACATCTCTAATCACTATAATGGCTGCTTTTAATTAAGAAAAAAGTTTGAGTATGGATTTCACCACGATGCATAATAATGGGTCCATTGACACATCTCCCTCCCTTTCAAGACCACGCATTCCCTATGTAGTTAAGATGTAAGATATGAAGGAACGGTCAGCAAGTTAATGACAGGGGAGACCAGAATTCTGATCCCTAAGTTTTTAAAGAAAGCAGAGCTAATCCAAAGCTTTTTTTGAGTATGCAAGAACAAGGGAAATTGCTTTTGATTTATGCATCCTTATACAGAAATCAGCTGTAGTTGAATATTACTTCAACACTGGTAATGAGACAATGCCATTTAATACATCTGTAGACACCAGACTTTAATCGATATAGCATGGGCTGTATGACATACACAGCTCTGCTCTTCAAGACTAGGTATGGGAATTACTTGGTTCTGCAGGTGTTGTTAGAGTGCATCCTAGATGTCCTAACCATTATAGTAGGCAAGACTAAACTTCGATCCTTTGGGTATTTTGGACTTCCACAATTGGAATTTGGCTGAGATTTCAAGAAGTTGGTCCAAAACGCCTGGAGGGTCAAAGTTTGCCTATGCCTGCATTATAGCCAATGGCGAAGAACTGGTTTGCAATAATATGTGCAAGACCACACGATTTCTATCCCTGTCCTTGTTGTTACTGCTTTCCACTCCATCTCAGGGTCAAGCCGGTAGTGAAAGTAAGCTTCTACTGTGCTGTGGAATATCATAGGCTTTCAACCACTCCTATTTACATCTATTTGAGTCATTATTTTCATTGTTTTTGTGCATTTTTCCAGAGCGTGGAAAAATATTTTTTAGACTATTTAACACCCCAAATCCACCAGCCAAAATGGCCACAACTGCTCTGAGTAGTAATCAATAAAATAAACTTTTCCATTGTTTATTATTATCTTGGCAATTAGAAATTGCTTTATTTTGGGGCACAACTGAGGCATCTGTCATTCTGCAGCATATCTGAGAAGAATACACTCCTACTGAAGCACTTCCCATGCAATTTATCCTGTTTGCCTTTCTGTTTATAGATGAAGCTACTGTAATACTACACTGTTCAATGAATGAGATTTTCCCCAGGTCAGGCTATGAAAGCAAAATACTATGGGCTCTATGACTCTGTCTGGGAAGAGACATTGAAAATGAGTTAGCTCTGCCATTCCATTCTTGGTTACTGGTACGGAATAACCCCTTTGCTAAAGAAGTTGTCAATTCATTTATCTTATTTTCAAGCTGCTCTTCTTTTGAAATACTCCAAGAAATCTGGACAGTGGACCGGTCAAGAAACAGCTGTCTATATCGGAGACTACCTGAGTGTGACCAAGAAAGGAAGACAAAGAGATGCCTTTTGGATACACTTTCTACACCAGGAAGAGACTCTGGGAAGGTATTGCTTGAATCAGTGTGACATTGTGATTAGTTCAGGCAGGAGAACCCCATGAAATTGGTCTGTAGTGGTAGAAAGGATCACAGCCCAGATTTCTTTGCATTCAGAAAGTCCCAGGGGAGATCTCCAGTGTCTGCACATAAAAAGATCCAGTGGTAGGAGATTAGGATATACTCAAGCCCTTGTCAGAGACCCCACACAGCTGCTTATCCTTCAAGCTACTGGCTAGATTGGGACAGGGAACTTTTGGCCTTCCAGATATTTGACTAATAACTCCCACATTACCTTATCATTGGCTATGCTGGCTAGAGCTTGTGGGATTTGTGGGCCAAAGGTTGCCCACCCCAAGCTAAACAGGTGAATGGTTTGGTTTCATAAGACAGGGTTACCAATGAGATAGCCCTTACTCTTGTCTCACTTTGGAGCTGAATGTCACACATATTTGTTTCTTAATTAAAACGGAGAGAAATCCTTCCCACCACAGCTCTGAAGAGCTCAGTGATGGACCACCAAACTATATTGTGATGGATCTGCCTGCCTGCCTGCCTTCCTTTCCTTCCTCCCTTCCCCCCAGTCTCTCCTTTTTTTTCTTTTCTTTTTGGATTTTTATTATTGCTATGCAATTACAGGATAGTAGAGTACAGCAAAAGAAAAGAAAAGACTGCATTTACTAAGCCATTCTCAGGGAGTAAGTCTCACTGCAGTTATTTGAAATCTGTGCTCATAAAATATTATTAGGAATAGTCTGCTTACCTCAATGATTTCATTGAAAGAGATTAAATCTCAAAATTCTCCTTCTGAGATTGACCAAACAAATTATTCCAAATCATGCCTTTTTGGGGTCACTTAATTGAAACATTTCTGCTCTACCACCACCCTCATGTTACATCAGCTTTAGGGATGTGACTGGATTGTGTTCTACTAATCTAACTTTATAATATTTTAAAATTGTTTTATACTGTTTTGTGTGATGGTTTTAATTGTTTTTAAATTTTTATGAACTTTTTTAATGGGCTGTCTCTGGAAGCCATCTTTGGCCCTACCCTGGAAGAAAGATGGCATACAAATGAAATTAATAAAAAATGAATAAATAATAATGCACCAGCCGTAGAGTAATTAGTCCCTTTCACAGGAAAACCAATGTGAAGGGGGCATTTCTGAAGAAGAAAAGTGGGGAAAATTACAAACCACCCCATCCCTCCTTGTCTCACACAACAGGACTCACACATCCTCCTTCATGTACTCCCTTTCCTCCAAGGAATTACTCATCCATGTTAGGGATTTCTCTCAAAATAGCGGAGCATCCAAAAATACAAACAGGATACTTAATTGAGCAGTCAGCTCACAGCAAGCAGAAGCTGAAGTGTTGTTCTTGCAAAAGAATTCTTGAGTTTAGGAGACAGAGTTCAATCTTTAAAGTTTCAAAGGTTTATTTAAAAATGTTAGAACTACACTACATTTCTTGATAGAAAAGAATTGGGTTTAAGTTTCTTTCTAACACCAGTACCCCATAACTCCCACAGTACATTTCTTCAAACACAGAGACTAGAGAGAAGTCTGCATGCAAAGGTGGAAAAAGCAGAAAAAACCACGAGTTTTCAGTTAGAAAGTGGGAGGAGAAAGACAGAAAGAGAACAAATGGATACATTAACAGACATTCAGGAACACGGGAGGGGGTGGGGGGGGGGGCCTCAAGCCTAGCCTAAAGCTAACTAATTGCTCCTTATTGATAACTGTAGACTTGAGCAGTGTGAGGTTGATTTTCATCAATCCAAAGGAAGGCTACCTGATGAACTTGGTTATGGTCAGTTAGACCATGTGGCATATAAATGCCAAGCCTTGACACAGTCAAGCTTAGCTTAAGAGTTTCAAAACTCCATGGACTCTTTGTTGTGCCGCAATAGTCTCTCCCCATGCCTCCTACCATTGCTGGTAGTGAGTGGAGGAGATTAAAGAAATCAATATGGTATCATCTGCTGAGACAACATCATCAAGCAGGAGTGGCATCTCTGGCAGAGATTTCTGGTGGAATTCCACAAATCTCGGTGGCAGATGTAATCAGATGTACAGGCAGTCCCCGAGTTACAAACATTGATTACAAGCAATTCATAGTTAAGAATGGGGTGAGACAACAGGAAGTGAGAGAAATCTATCCCTAGAAAGGGAAATTCACTCCTGAAATCATGGAGAAAAGACATCATGGAGAAAAGATGTCTCAACTGAAGCTTTCTCACCAATCCTTGTTTCTACAACAAGCTACATTTTTCAAAATTCAATTGTCACAGGGACAGAAAATGAGATGAATGGGGACACAGAAAGCAAAACAAACACCACAGGGGTGTTTATCCTTCCCTGTACTATCCAAGGCTTATCTATCTATGGCTGGAGTTACACTTAAAAGATGTGCCTTACATACAAATTCAGCTTGAGAACAAACCTACAGACCCATCTTGTTCATAATGCAGGGACTGCCTGTAATCAAATACTTCGCCAATCCCATCCGCTATCCAAAAGGAACAGAATGGCAGGGGCTACAGTGATGAGTCAAGGGAAGCTTTGGCCCTTATTATTATTATTATTATTAACTTTATTTGTATCCCGCTAGCATCTCCCGAAGGACTCGATGCGGCTTACACAGGCCGAAGCCTCAGAAACACCAATACAGCAAAACATAACACAACAGCAAAACAAAAGCAAATCAAATAGTTAAGCAAAGTAACAACAACAGTACAATACATCAGGACACTTTAAAAACTGGGCCGGCCAGAGTAGTGGGTACAGGGTTAAAAGTGCTGAAATGGCAGGAGGAACGTAGGATTAAAATAGTGCAGTGTGCAGCGATCTTAATTATACTAAAGTGCTTCTAGGACTTGGGTTGGGGAATTCCTAATCTGAGAAGGCACATCGGAACAGCCAAGTTTTTAGATTCTTTCTGAAAACTGCTAAAGTAGGGGCCTGTCGAAGATCTTTTGGAAGGGCGTTCCAGAGTCGGGGGGCCGCAACAGAAAAGGCCCTGTCCCGTGTCCCCACCAAGCGCACTTGCGACGTGGGTGGGATCACGAGCAGGGCCTCCCCAGATGACCGGAGTGAGCGTGTGGGTTCGTAGATGGAGATGCGGTCACGCAGGTAGGGTGGTCCCAAACCGTTCAGGGCTTTGTAGGTGAGCACCTGCACCTTAAATTGGGCTCGGAAAATAAATGGCAGCCAGTGGAGCTCCTTAAACAGAGGGGTAGACCTCT